ACTTGGCTGATCTTGTCAAAACTATTTCCAACCAGTTTCCCAGAGAAAAACAGAATATGGAGATTTATCCTGACCCTTCTGGTGACCCAACTAAGGTGAGTTAACAAACGTGAGTCATGTTTATTGATATGCTATTGACACATTGATTGATTGCACCATTTGCTTTTGATTCTCAGTTCTTTCAAAGGGATGACGGTTTCCAAAGAGATGTATACCAAATTGCTCTGTTTCTGGCACTCGTCTATTTTGTTGTACAGCTTTTGAGGACAACCTTGTAAACCCCACACCGTTAGTGTACTCTAGTAAGTTAAGTTTACACTTGAAATCTATATATACATGCATTATGCATATTACTAACTATGAAATGTTGAGATATTGCACCAATGTTTCAGCTTACATTTACAAAGATAGATACAGCTTACTCTCTTTTTCTTTACTCTTGTAAGGTGTAGTCTGTAGGCAGAATATACAATATAATGGCCAGGAGGCAGTCAGTACATTTCAAGCATTTAACACTCACTCACTCACTCACTCACTATTATAAATTATGAATCATGACTTATAAATTTTATAATACAATAACGAAATTCTGTGGACCTGCATGCCAACAATCGGCATGAGAGTTCTGATTCTAAAAAGGAGGTGGATTTCCTGACGGTCTGTTAGAATCAACAACAAAAGCCACCCCAGAGAGATAGTAGGCCAATCACTGCTCATCTCATGGTCTAATCAAATGCATACATTGAATCCTTCAGAGATATCAGTCCTATGAAATCTTAAGGAATTTCTGAGGATGATGAGGCTTGAATGAAAATTGCAGACAAGCTCATACAAAAGAGAAAAGAAAAGAGGTCGAACCAGAAGGGTGGACAAAAACTATCACCACCTGGACAGACAGATAAATACTTCCAAAATAATTGATATGTTTTTCTTTTTTATTATTATTTTGGGGTGAACAAATTAGGGTGCACCAGAGCTAATGGATGTTAAAAGTAGCACATGTTGAATTAATGCAATATTTGCAGCATGGCAATTACTAATAACAGGAATGTCAATAGTGTTCCCATTATGCGGCTGGATGCTGAAGAAAGATTGTGGGCACCAACAGAGTATACCTGCCCTGACTTGTCATCCTTCAGTTTAATGCTTGAAGTGCCTAAAACAAAACAAAACAAAACAAAACATCAAGGCAGGTCATGCTCATGAACCTGCTAACAATAAGAAACATAAAATCAAACACTGCCACCCAATGGCTGGCTGAATGTTACTCACAGTTGTAATCAGTCCACCCAATGGCCTGGTTTTCAAGATCATATAGGACCAGCTTATTTGAAAGTACCAAGTCTGCAATTGGGAACAATTACAAAATTCAATGAATGAGATTCACACATGTGATTTGTTTTCAACATGTAATTCTCAAGACTCTAACCTCCCAGAAGAGTCACTGACTTTCCATCTTTAGATTTCATCGAGTTGCTCTGCCAACCAGAACACCAGACATTGTCCTGTGTATATGACATGACAAATGTAAATTAGTTAAAAACCCATCGAAGAAGGCAGTAACCAAAATGAATTGATAATGTTGTAGCTAAAGAGAAGAAGAGTATAAATCTACAATAAGCAAACCAATTCAGAAAATTCTATGTCAGTGCATCACAAAATAAAATTTGGAAAATGTGATAAAACACTCACACGCAGTCGGAACAGATAGTCATGAGGATATACAGTCAAAGAAGCAGAACTCTTAAAACCGAACTTTACAATTGGAAATCCATCATCAACCCTGCAAGCAAAAATGATAAGGAAATGTAAGGTAGCTTTCTACAAGTCTAGCTGCTCTTCTGGTGTTTAGAGTAACCAACACATGTAAAACAAGTAATAGTAAACTCACTAAAATAGAAATAAAAAGTAATAGCTAAGCTAAGTTAATGCTTTACTTTCCGGTATACTCAAAACACGTAAACTGCTCCTCAACAGTATGTAACTTCAATCCAGACTGCCGAGCAAATATCTGATTTGTCAAAAATACCAATGTAAGGTTTTCTCAACAAGAAAAACAAACAATGTATTTATTTAGACAGCAAAATCCAAATGAATGGGACTTCAAGAGCTTCAGCGGCTACCTTTTTAATAAAAGGTTCAAAAACCTCCGGTGTAAGATAAGCCAACGTTGTTCCACTGTCAATTACTGCCGACTTCCGGTCTCCAAAAAGGCCAAATATATCTGTGGTAAGTTCTATAGCATCACCACCCACCTCAATTGTCTTCATTGAAACAGTGTAATGTGGCCTAAGATATTCAATAAAATTAAATTATCACAAGTTTCATAAGCCAATGCCTAACCTGATTGAAGAAAGAAAAATGAAACATCCTTTATTTATAACCATGTAGGGAGCTATAATCACTACAATCACTCTAACAAGGTTCCCAGCAGCCTGTCACTAGTAAACATGTAGTTACAGTCATCTGTTTCTTCCATTGCAGAGACTAGGAAATCAAATGGCAATTCCATGACAATCTAGCGGGTAGTTCCTTAATCTAGTTGTTAGATTTATTGAGTAATTTCAGTTAGCATTGTACAATTACGAGCAAATTTAGTACGAAGGATTGAGAGATAGTGTCACATACATATTTGGCAGCAAGGGAGTTGTATTTTTCACTTTTGGTTCCACCACTTCCCCAATGGCGTAGATTCCTCCACCTTTTACGTTATCCAAGCAATGTGAAAATTGTCTTTTCACCTTTCCAGATGAAGCTAGTTGTGAAATGATGGATGCATTTGCCTGGCCAAAACCAAGTATCCCATCAACTGCCGCAGGAGACTTACCAAGATTCCCAGATTGTTTAGCTCCACACCTATTAATCCGCAAGAGATGTAGCTTAATACACACAGGAAGTGCATAGCAACAATGGATTATGCAAAGTCAAATAAAGAAGCTGAAAGAATTCTACATAGAAATGGCTAAGGTTTAGTAATGAGAAAGGCTACATAGAAATGGCCGCAACTCACCCAAAAACTACGGTCCCATTTGTTGATGTGGTTTGATGGTTTCCAGTTACTTTATCAAGTTGTATGTTGTCCTTCACATAGTATCCAGAAGTTGCGCTTCCATCTCCGTAGGCGATGTTATAATTGCAGAGCATATTTGGCTTGCAACTAGGAAGTCGACCATTCAATGTGGAAGTGCAAAACTCTTGATCACAAGTAACCTTATTTGAAGTTGAAGAGCTCTTTGCATCATATACTGAGAGTTTAAACTGTAGCAGAATAATTATAACAAGGCATAAATACTGTTTTCTTGATGAGCACGACACATGTAATATGAAAAAAAAAAAAAAAAGAAGAAAAAGGGCAAAGACACATACACCAAGATTACTTTTAGCGGGACAGTTTTCGCATTCTGCACAATTCACCCATAAAAGGTCACTTCCTGTATCAACTTGCACGTGAAAGTCCTTTGGAGGAGATCCAATCCCGATTTTAGCGAAGTAGAGCCTAAAACCAGTCAAACCATTCAATGACGAAAACCACAATTGGATATCCAAAGTTTATGCAAAACAACAACAACAACATGATAATGACCAAAAGCAGAAGAATATGTACCCAGCTTCAGAAGGATGACCACTGCCACCCAATTGCAAATCCACAGCAGCATCTGCGGCTAGAAGCCTACCGTGACGGCGAGCATCATGTTCTTTCAATGCAATCAAAGACACCTGCTTGTCACGACCCTTGAACTTATGGTTGACGGAGAACACCAAGTTACCAGACACATTCAAAACCAATGCGAAGAAAAGCAGAATACCACCCAACACGGCCACTCTTGTTGTTGTTGTTGTTGTTCCAAGAGCCATTTTTCAATATAATTTTGATTTACCCAACAAACAGGAATCTTTAAGGTGACTTAACAAAACAGAGATTGAATACAACTCAAAGGTTCAATTTTGAAAAGTTTGATGTTTGGAATTGGACCCCCAACGAGCAACAACCACCCTTTTTTGGGGACAAAACCCAGACCCAGGCTTTATTAGAAATGTGGGTTCTGTGTAAAATTCATGGCCGAGTTGGGTGGAGAAACAACAAGTAACAAGGTGGGTGGGGTGGCAGAGGGAAAAGAGGCATATGTCTAAGAGGGAATGTGCAAGAAAAGACAGAGAAGCAATGTAAGAGAAGAGAGAGAGAGAGAGAGAGAGAGAGAGAGAGAGAGAGAGACGAGACGAGAAACGAGAGAGTAGCGCGTTTTCTACGGCGAAAGGCACGTCGTTCTAAAATAGTAAACTACGTGAACCTTTGTAATTGTTTTACTTATTCTGTCTATTTTGGTTTTGTTTGTTTGGGATTTCCTAATATCTTTGTTCGTGTTTACTGTTCATTCTATGGTTTTGTTTGTGTTTACTCTATCTACAATAAAGTTTTAAACTTTGGTTGCTCTCTCTCTCTCTCTCTCTGTGTCTCTCTCTCTCTGGGTCCTATACTCATTGGCTGGCGATTGACAAAACTTCCTCTCGTCTTCCCAAGAGAAACAAACAATTGACTCAAGTCACTGCCAAGCCAACTACGGACATTTGACTCAATTTAATAGATAATTTAAAGAAATCTTAGTTTGGGCCTTAAGTTCAAGTTTGGTCATGGGCTGCAAGTGGGAGTGGGTTGGGTCAACCTAACTTGTTTCGTGTTTAGGGCTTAGGGTTGGGTCAACCTATACTCATTTCATGTCATGTCGACGACCATATTAAAAATGCCAAACTTCATGAATTCCCTTTTGTTTTGACTCATCTTTTTTCTTTCGTTTTCTTTTTCCCATTTATGTGGACGATGCAAAGCATGCCGCTTGCTTCACTAATTGATCAGCCAAATGACTTAAACACCCCAACATTTTCCATTACAAAATAAATATCAAATGATTAATTTGGTCTTCTCACCAACTAAAAGCCAAATATGATCTTCCGTCACCTTCACCTTCCCATAAGCTCTCCCTCCCACCACAACCACTCATTCCTGTCACTACAATCCGCTCAACAAACAGGTATATTCCGTCATTAGGATTGAACAGATTATTCTAAGCGACGAAAATATCCCCGGATTTCCCACAACAGCTCCATAAACGTCTCAGGGCAATGCTGTCTTTTCATTAGCAAGCCTCGCCATTTCTTTCGTCCACAGAAGATAACAAGTTCGCGACGTGACAAAAATGACACCCAGTTTCTCATAACAGCTCACAAACCGAAAGGGCATATTAGTCTTTCTGAAAATCACCCTTCTCTTCTCCTCCTCTATATGTCCTTAATTGTTTCTCGCTAGCTGCAACGGATTCACTTGGCTCTCTCTCTCTCTCTCTCTCTCATCCATGGCTCTGCAGACTGCTGCTGCTCTCTCTCCTCGCTCCATTAGCTCCTCAACGACTTTACCCTGCGCCGCGAAGCATCCGATCATTTATTCTTCTACTTCAAGTTCAAGCTGCTTCCTCTCGCCGTCGCAGAGGAAGAATGTGGCAGTGGGCTTGAGTGGTGTAACAACCAGTAAGAGGAAGCGGGCCTGGGCCTCTACGGTGAAGTCGAGCTTGGACACCGTAGGCCCCACTGTCAATGTGGGTCAGGTCACGGAGGTTGACAAGGACACCTTCTGGCCCATAGTCAAGGCCGCCGGCGATAAGACCGTCGTCCTCGATATGTACACGCAATGGTATGCTCCATTTCTTTCTGTTTTTACATCTCTCCTTTCTGTTTGGTTCGCGGGAAATTCCATGAATTAATTCTAAATAAAGGAAACAAAAACTCTTGTTCAGAGTGGAGAACCTGAATTTTGTATGTGAATACGTGGGTGGTGCGGATTAAACAATGAAATTGAAGTAATTTTTGGCCAATTCTGAAAATTTCGGGAAAGAAAATCAGAACAAACAACTGTCGTGTTTGTCGAGAAATGTTATATGTTTGTTTCCCCCTTATTCATTTTACACGAATAATGAAGTGGGGATTTTCTTTGAATGAAATTTCAAAATGTAGATTTCAGCTGAAGTTTTGGTTTCACATGGTTTGTGCAAATTGCATAAAAGCAAGAATGTTGTTTTTAAGTTTGTGGAATTTAGTTGGGACAAGTTGTTGAATGAAACATGGAATTGTAGCCCTGCTTCAATTCGTTTAATTTTTTTGATTGAAATGCTATTCTTGATATCCATTTGCTTGTGTTCTTGAATCTTGAATTCCTTCTGCATGCTTTAATAACCCTTAATCTTATGCTAGGTTGTTTGGATTAAACAAGCCCTTGGAAATTGAATGTGACCAGTGACAATTCTTGCACTGACAATCTTGTTGGTTGATTAGGGTGATCTGCTTTTTGATTTTCTGCTCACGTACCAACAGTCCCCAGTCGTGTCACGATGATTGTACAAATTTCATGGCTTAAAAGAGTGCTGATTAATTCATGCTTCTCTCCTTGCTTCTTTAACCTTCTCAGTTCATCAAAGTTGTCAAAATTCAATAGCACAAGTCCAAGCCATTTGCAAGAACAGAACCAAATAGTTTTCATGCACTCACTCAGGCTTGAATTGAATCCTTCAGAGGCGTTGAAATGAACCCTATTTAGTCTACATTTATGGGACCACCAGAATTGTCAAAGCTTAGGTCCTTGAAACTATATTTTAGTTGATCATTATAAGCATTCTGTGTTACTGTGAGATTTAAGATTTACTGCATTTCAACCATTGAAATGTGATCTGAATCTTAACTGGAAGACTATTGAATATTTGATCTTACAATATGATCTGAGCTTAGCAAGTTGGGTTGGATTAACTTTCGTTCTGTATCCCATAGAGGAGTAGTATTGTTTGTGTTATATCATTCTTTTTAAGCTTAATTCTGGAAGTTCTGGGAATCCTGATGTAGTAGTTTTCACTTCTTGTTGTTGGAAGATGGTAGGATTGGATATGGGTTATGAATGATCCATGGAGAGGCATAAGAAAACAATATATTACTCAGGTCTAGGGATAGATTTACAATCTCTTGTCCTGCTTCTGCTTCTGTATCATTACATCTAATTACACTTGATTTCGTATTCCTGGTTTGAACTCTGCAGGTGTGGTCCTTGCAAGGTGATTGCTCCAAAATATCAAGAATTGTCAAAGAAATATCTTGATGTTGTATTTTTAAAGCTTGACTGTAACCAAGAAAATAAGGTTGGTTATCGTGATGTTTGCTTGAATTTTCTTTACTAGAGTCGAATGTTTTTTCGATGCTCTATCTTATGTTTACTGGTGAGTGATTGTTGTTGTTAGCAGCCATTGGCAAAGGAGCTTGGGATAAGGGTGGTGCCAACTTTCAAGATTTTGAAGGACAACCAGGTTGTAAAAGAAGTGAAGGGGGCCAAATTCGATGATTTAGTTGCTGCCATAGACGTTGTTAGATCAAGCTGAAACGCCTTAAATTTTTCTCCATGAGATGAGATGTTAATAAGGCAAGGAAAAACGTCTGTTTGGAACTCTGACAATTATTCTACTTGTATCTATGTATCCATGTGACGCTTCCTTTGCAATTCTAGTTAGAACTTGAAAGCAGAAGAGCTGCAACCATAATCTGCTTCATAGAAAGAGATTCCAGCAGGATGTTAGAGACAACATGTTGGAAAAGAAAAAGAGTGAAACAGACAAGGAAAGGAAGCCAGATGACACGTGAAAAAATCTCTCTTCAAACTTCTAATAAAGAAACTAATAGTAGATTTGGATTAGTCCAATTGATTAAGGCAATGATTTGTTAAAATGGAAAATTATTTAGAGACGACATGGATGGTATGGTAAACGCCTTAGTCTGCTCTGACACTTGCATTCGTCCCCTAAATTGTTGGTGGCCCATACTGTTAACTTGGGTACCAATGAAATGACGCCACCGTAACAAGGTGATGTAAACCTAAAAGACAACACCACCCCTAACATTTCCCCAATATAACAAGCATACCTTCTTAACCTTCTTTGCAGACTAGCGAGCAGGATCCCAAAACACACCTCCCCCAGCCCCCGAATAAAGTTATAGTTCAAACCCCAAATTCAAAATAATAAAAACAAAAGAAGGTCAAAAGTCAAATTGCTCCGCCTTTTCTTTTTTCTTACAAGTTGATCTTTTTCTCTTCCTCCCTCTCGTTCTCTCTCTCTCTCAAATCCAGAAGAAGAAGAAGAAGAAGAAGAAGGGAGAGAAATGTGTGGGATATTTGCATATCTGAATTACGACGTCAACAGAGAGAGGCGTTATATTCTTCAGGTGTTATTCAATGGTCTCAGGCGTTTGGAATACAGAGGCTACGATTCCGCTGGGATTTCCATCGACCATTCCTTTTCCCTCGATCCAAACACTCCCCAATCTTCCTCCAATTCTCCGCCTCCCCCACTCGTTTTTCGCCAGGAGGGAAACATCGAGAGCCTCGTCAAATCCGTCTACCAAGGTAACTCTTTATAATTTTTTTTTTATTCATTTACTTGAACATTCTGTTTGGTTTCTGGGAAAATGTTGAACAATAAAGAAACTGTAAATTTGAGCCCGCCGTTACGTTCTTCTCTGGTTGACCCAGTAAAATTGGTCCGGGTTATTTGGGCGGGTCAACCCAGTAACAATAAATGCAGCTGTTTTTTGTTGTTGAATATAAATGCAGCTCTGTATCATTGTTCTTCATTAAAGTTTCATTGTTAACTTGTTATTCGTGTCGGGTTGGGTAGATGTGGTTTGGGTTTTTAGACCCGCACTCTTCGAGGCTGGGTTTGGACCAGACAATGCCAGCTTAACCTTACGAACTGTTTGGGCATAGGAATGCACAAAAGAAAGAGCAAAACACAAGTTTGGAACTTTGGACCTCTTTCCTTTTTGTTTTTTTTGTAAACATTTCTTTTTCTAGTATTAGTTTGTTTAGCGTCAGTGTCTTTGGTATTTCTTGTGCATTTATTACATTTTCTCATCCGACATCCTCCCTACACTAAGCTTGAAAAGAAAATGCTGGTTACTTGTTAGTTAGGGAATGTTTAAAATTTGAATATTGAAATAAATAAATCACTTTTTTGGAATAATAGTTAAACCTTTTGGACAGTTAGTAACTTACTAGATGCTCACACTAAACCAATTTTATGTGCTTATGGTTGAGTCCGGTGATGTTCTAGTTTGTAAAAGGATTTTTTTTTTAATAAAAAAAGGAAAATTACTAATTGCAGTATCACTTTGTCCTGTTACAATCCAGAATTAATATTTTATAAAACTTTTAAAGCAAGTACACGGAGCTGATATACATATTTTCTGTTTATCAGCCGTATATATTGATTTTATAGTTTTGTTGACTGTCCTTCAAGGATAGTAATATATGCGTCTCCTTTAAAAAAAAAAAATTTTACAAAAAAATCTATCCCGAGGCCCTGGAATTAATGTTTATTTTTTGTAAATCCAGAGGTTGCCAAAACAGAGTTAAATTTAGAAGAATGTTTCTCTCACCATGCTGGAATAGCGCACACCCGGTGGGCTACTCATGGAGAGCCAGCTCCAAGGAACAGCCATCCACAGAGTTCTGGCTCTGGAAATGAATTTTTGGTTGTTCACAATGGAGTTATCACTAATTATGAGGTTCGATAAAGATTTCAGTTGTAGAACTTTTTCTTTCTTTTTTGAGATTATTGTTCTTGCTGAATGCAACCTTTTTTATGATGAAAATATTACATTATCAAAGTTGAAAAAAGAAAAGAAAAGAAAAGAAAAACTATTGTGGTTAGATGATTGCCTAGGTATGAATCTGTTTATTTACTTTTGGATCATACTAAAGTTTACTTTATTTTTGGACTGTATGCCTAACAGCCTCTGTCATCAATGGCTCTGCTGATTTACGTTCTTGTTCACTTTCTCAGGCCTTAAAGGAATCACTGGTCCGGCATGGATTCACCTTTCAATCTGAAACTGACACAGAAGTAATTCCAAAGCTTGCCAAATATGTTTATGATAAAGCTAAAGAAGGAGAAGGTAATTTTATATGTAACTAGAAGTAAGTTAAACATTTAGTTCATGAGTATAACTTACAATTTGAAGTTCAAAATCTTTAATTGCTAATGCAAAATTGTGATTAATATAGTTCGTGCAATTATTTCTTTTAGCTATTCAGAACTCATCACCTGATATTTGTGACAGTCTAGTGGGTTGATCCCTTCACTGCTTTGAAAGTAAAAAAGAATTTATTAACTCAAATACTAAAAGGGTTGCCCTATTGAATTACTCTGGAGGCAAAAAGCTTCTTCATTACCTCCAGAGCTTTTTTTTTTCTTTTTTCTTTCCATATTTGCCCAAAGACGCAGTAGCCAAGGCGGGAAATGGGCTTCTGTAGGATAGGGGTGGACAGATCAACTGAATTATTTATTTATTCCCTCATTTTTCAATTCTTTAAAGCACAATCTAGGGTGATGTTAGAGTGTTATGTTTATGTTTCAGGTGACCATACTATCACATTTAGTCAAGTTGTGCTTGAGGTTATGAGGCATCTTGAAGGAGCATATGCCCTGATTTTTAAAAGCCAGCATTATCCAAATGAGTTGATTGCTTGCAAGCGTGGCAGTCCGTTGCTCCTTGGTGTCAAAGTATGCTACATTTGGAATAGCTTAACAATTTTGGCTAAATATTAAGTTTTTAATTATATGTGCCTGTAATAGTTTTTCATTGACACTTTTGGCCTGATATCTGGCCTTGGTTTACACTTTGCTATCATGTCAGGAATTTAACGAAAATGCTAGCAATGGATCTGCTTTCCAAGATGATAATTTCCTTTCAAAAAGCGGACATGCTAAGGAACTTTTTTTATCCAGTGATGCCAATGCTGTAGTTGAACACACTAAAAAGGTTTTGGTGATTGAAGATGGTGAAGTAGTACATCTTAAGGTACTTACTTAAGTGTTGTATTTTGTTATGTTTTAAATTTTTAATAGGACAGTTACATATCGGCGTAGTGCATAGGGACTTAAGATGTGTCCTACCATCTGTTTTAACATAAAGTCTATCTATACAGGGCTTATGCCTTTCTTCTAATCAAGGATTTATTTAACTTCCATTTCAGTGTCTATATAGTTTTTATTTCTTGTATGCTTAATTTTACAATTAGGATGAAACTTGTTTTTGATAGTTTTTTCCTAGTATTCCCACTCTTTTTTAGCCTTTTCAATTTACTTTACCAAGTTTTCTGCCTAAAACATTCATTCCTATACATGCTCTGCATTTGTGATAATTACCTTTTAAGTTTATGTCCTTAGTCCTCATATAGCTGTTTGGACCTTTTGGTTTACTCTACCAATATGTCGTGCCAAGATATTATTGATTCTGATTTCTTTGCTAGTTGTACTTAATTGCTTCGGAAAATTGAAGTTATTTTGTTTTTACCCATGGTGGCGGTTGTTTCAGGATGGAGGTGTTTCTATCTTAAAGTTCGATAAAGGGCAGCACGGTGGCCTTTCAAGAGTTGCATCAGTACAAAGAGCATTGTCCATTCTTGAGATGGAGGTTGAACAAATAAACAAAGGAAATTACGAACATTATATGCAGAAAGAAATTCATGAGCAGCCTGAATCTCTAACAACCACAATGAGGGGGAGACTTTTACGTGGAGGTTCCTGCAAAGCCAAGACTGTTCTCCTTGGCGGACTGAAGGATCACCTTAAAACAATTAGGCGAAGCAGGCGAATTGTTTTCATTGGTTGTGGTACAAGCTACAACGCTGCTTTAGCTGCAAGACCAATATTGGAAGAACTTTCTGGTAAGTGCTTTTTGGCCGTCAAAAATCCTTTCCGGATTGTTATTTGTTCGTTTTGCTTCTGTTCTGGTTAGTTGAACCTATAAACAATATAGGTATCCCTGTTACAATGGAAATTGCTAGTGATTTGTTGGATCGGCAAGGACCTATATACAGAGAAGATACAGCAGTCTTTGTCAGTCAATCTGGTGAAACAGCAGATAGTTTGAGTGCATTGGAATATGCTCTAGAAAATGGTGCATTATGCGTTGGCATTACAAATACTGTTGGTAGTGCAATAGCCAGGAATACACACTGTGGTGTTCATATAAATGCTGGTGCTGAGATTGGTGTGGCAAGTACTAAGGTAAATTTGCAATTTTACTCTATCTTTGTTTTTGTGATTTTTTGTATTTCTAATTGACAGTCTTATCATGGTCATTAATAGGCGTACACAAGTCAGATAGTGGTGATGGCTATGCTAGCACTAGCTATAGGAGGTGACACAATTTCCAATCAAGCAAGAAGAGAGGCTATAATAGACGGTTTATTTGAGTTGCCAAGTGAGTTCTGGTTATTTTATCTTCTTAGCATATCACTGCAGTGTACTTCGTTTTCCAGTGTTTTCCAAGAAGTAACTTGCCAGAAAGCATAAAAAAGTGAATTTTTCCGATATGCTCATTGCAGACAAGGTCAGAGAGGTCCTCAAGCTTGACCAGACGATGAAGGATCTTGCACAAGAACTGATAGCTGAACAGTCACTTCTTGTGTTTGGGAGAGGATACAACTATGCAACAGCTCTGGAGGGTGCTTTGAAGGTGAAAGAAGTGGCCCTTATGCACAGTGAAGGAATACTTGCCGGTGAAATGAAACATGGTCCTCTGGCTTTAGTTGATGAAAATCTCCCTACATTTGTGATTGCTACCCGTGATGCTTGCTTCAGGTTTGTCCTGTCATGGTTGGGAGCGCTTACATGCTTTGAAAATGCACCTGGTTTTTCTTAATGATGACCTTTGATAATTTACAGTAAGCAGCAATCAGTTATTCAGCAGCTTCATGCCCGCAGAGGTCGTCTGATAGTAATGTGTTCGAAAGGAGATGCTGCATCTGTGTGCCCTGGGGGATCTTGTCGAGTGATTGAAGTTCCTCAGCTTGAGGATTGCCTTCAACCTGTAGTTAATATTGTTCCATTGCAGGTATTTTTTGTCATTTGATTTTATATTACACTATGATTATTGTTTGGGTTAGAGTCAGCTGCATTTCTGCTCGTGTCTGACATTAATGCCAGCCAGTTTTACATTTTTGAGCATTAATAGATAGTTCTTCCTCGTAACTTTTCTGTTGTTTGACCTTGAGAAGGAGTGAAATGTGTCATTGGTTGGTAGTGATATTTTTCTGTTCCTCCCGTGGTGCAGCTGCTGGCATATCATCTCACTGTTTTAAGAGGTTTCAATGTGGATCAGCCTCGGAATCTTGCAAAGAGTGTGACTACGCAGTAAACGAGTTTCAACTTTGATGGGCGTGTGTACCTCATATACTCGTTGGTGTGTGTGTTCCTAAATTATGCTGAGAACATCAAGACCATAGCTGAATGGTGCTAAAAATCACCTTTTGTTTGATGTGTAATGTGTTGGTAAAATGTCTGGTGTGATGCTGATGAGGTTGTTGTAAGTCGTCAGCTTTGTAAATCAATACAACTAGGAAGGAACAATACTAACAGGCCCTGTGTCTCCCTCTTCCTGCGGAGTTTGTTTTCTTCTTTTGATCTTGTATCCGTCATTTCATTTTTAACATCATCTACACTTGAACATGGAGATATATTTTGTAATAGCGTAATATTATTTGCATTGGACAACACTCTCTTCACGGATGACGGAGGAGCCCACCATTTTTATTTGCCTGTTGTAAATATAATCCATACATACATCTGTATATATAATTTATAAAGCAAAGGCATGACAAATACGTAAAACATTAACTTATTAAAATGTAAATAATTACGAAAGTAAGAGCTTACTGGGATGTCGGTGTCAGTGAGCGCCAAATTAAACGAAAAAATATTTAAACTTTCTAAATTCCTAATCTTAGTACTAGCAACGGGAAAAAAAACAAAACATGAAATTCCGAATAAAATTAGTATTATTTTCTTCTTCTTTTCCGGTGTTAAATACATAATATAAAACGGCAGCCTTTTGAAGCAGAGCTAACACTCTGAAACCCTAAATACTAATTAAACCCCGCCCCAGCCCCAGCCCCCAAAGTGAGGAAGAAGAAGCGAGGCCTAAATTTCACTAAAACACTATGTGTGGTCTTCAGCTATTCGACGGCGGCAGCGACCCCGAAAACGAAATGCAAATGGAAATCGAAAACGAAAACGAAAACGACGATATTCCACAGATCAAAATCAATGAAGAATACGCTCGCAGGTACGAGCACAACAAGAAGCGGGAGGACCTCCAACGTTACGAGGAGTTGAAGAAGCGAGGCCTTGTAGCCGACCCCTCTCGACAATCAGACTCTGATTCAGAATCCTCGTCCTCCGAGGACGAAGACGACATCCTTTTGGCCAATTCCAAGAAGAAAGACTTGGAATTTTTGGAAGCTCTAATCAAGGTAAAAAATCGAGACCCTAGCTTGAAAAACAAAGATGTTGAATTGTTTAAATCTGATGGAACCGAAAAGACCCGCGCCAAAGGGGAAGGGAATGGCAAGGCTAAGAAGAAGATGTACTTGAAAGATGTGGTGGCTAAGCATTTGATCGAGGATGGCCCCGAACTTAAGGAGGATGATAATAACACCAAGGTCTACGATGAAGAGCAAGAGCAGAGAAGGAAAGAATTCTTAAGTGCCGTTGCCGAGGACGAAGAGGATGATAATGGCGAGTTATTGGTAGAAAAAGATAAGAATGCTGTGGGGGACGATGACGACGATGATAGTGTTGTTAATGCTGAGTACGACCAGAAATTGAATGAGTGTTTCCCCGATGAGGATGAAAATGCTAGGTTTCTCAGGGACTTCATCAAGTTTCAGCAATGGAAGGAGGATAAGCGGAGCAAGGGAAGCGGTCCCGATGTAAAGAAGGAGGATTTGGAGATGGTGTCTGAGGATGAGATGGAGATTGAAAGGCAAGAGGAGTACGAGCATAGGTTCCAGGAGAATGCAGGGGATCGGATTTTGGGGCATTCCAGGCAAGTTGAGGGGTCGGTGAGGAAGAAGGTCAAGGCGAGGAAGGAGCAGAGGAAGAGTAAGGAGGATAGGATGGAGATTGCAAGGTTGGAGAGGGAGGAGGAATTGAGGCATTTGAAAAATTTGAAGAAGAAGGAGAACGATGAGAAGCTTAAGAAGATTATAGAGATTGCGGGGATTAAGGAGGGCGAGGTGTCTTCCTTTGATGCCAAGGAGTTGGAGAAGGAATTTAATCCCCAGGAGTATGATAGGATGATGAAGGCGGCTTTTGGTGAGGAGTATTATGAGGCGGAGGATGCTGACTTAGGGTTTGGTAGTGATATGGATGAGGATGGTGGTGAGATTGAGAAACCGGATTTTGATAAGGAGGATGAGTTACTTGGGCTGCCCAAAGGTTGGGATAGTGTCGGGTCTGGTGATGGGTTCTTAGCTGCAAGGGAGAAGGTTTTGAAGCTCAAGAAGGAGAATGTTGGTGACCATGAAGAAGAGGAAGAAGAGGAGGAGGAGGAGGAGGAGGAGGAGGAGGAAGAAGAAGAAGAAGAAGAAGAAGAAGAAGAAGAGACAGTGTCTGAGGAAGGTAAACAAGAGAAAAAGCGAAAACTCGCTTTATTGGAGAGAGCTAAAAAGGAGATGATGGATGAATACTATAAGTTGGATTACGAGGATACAATTGGAGACTTGAAGACTAGATTCAAGTATGCTAAAATAAAACCTAATAGATATGGGTTGTCTACTGCTGAGATATTAGTGATGGATGAAAAGGAGTTGAATCAATATGTGTCTTTAAAAAAGCTTGCTCCTTATGCAGAGAAAGAGTGGAAGGTACCAAACAACAAGAGAAATGAGATAAAACAGAAGGTTAAAGAGATTTTCAAACAAGGAAAGCCGGGTAACAAAAAGAACCGCAAGAAGCAGAAAATAAGTGATGCTAAGGATTTGAATTTATCAATGGATGCTGCCGGACAATCATCAATGGGTGCCCCAGAACATGAGAAAAAACAAGTAGTGGACTCAAATGGCGATAAGGGCAACCCATCCAGGAGTGCTAGAAGAAGGCGTAACCAAGCTGCACGAAAGTTACCGGCTTCTAGGCTCATGGCATATGGGTTGATGCCTGTAAAATCTAAGAAAAAAGGAAAGCACTGATCAGAACCTCTAGTTAAAACAGAGCAGTAGACAGGTGATTCTTTCACAAACTTAAGCATTGAGATATATATTTTCATATTCACGTATTATCATCCCTGTCTCCCTCTCTTGCGTGGTATGTTGTACCGATTTAAAGATGTGATGTGTTGGCTGGAAACAAATTGTAAATGTTTGTAGCTTAGGTTAAAAGTTAAAACTCTACCTACTAGCGCACTGTTCCTGTTGTAGCAAAACTGCACATTGTAGGTCGGTCATACTTTTTTTTGGGGTAAAGATTTATGTAGATAAACAAGTTGATACCAGTTTAGGGATTGAAAGGGCATGTACTATTCTGTGGAACATTCAGTGGGTTTGGGCATTGGAAAGAAGCAATTGCGTAATGGCACTTCGATTTGAATGCATATTGTTGTTACTGTGACACACTGATGATTTGAAAAAAAAAAAAAAATTAAAAGTGGAACACATTGATGAGTTATACTGATGCAGATCATGGGCATATATAAACTTATGTGTAAGATGCCTATCCATTTCCGATAAATGATATTGCATTGCACAAGTTATATTAATTGAAATTGTACCTGTTTTTAATCAGTTTTTACAACTTCCTGTTTGTTAGCTGGGTGAATTGTCAGCCTTAGTTCCATACACTTCTCATTTTATGCCAAAACAATGCCATGTTTTATTTTGTTTCAAATGTCTACGTGTTCATGGGGGTATTTATTCATATCTGAAGCTAGATATTTAGAATTTGCTTTTTTGTTTTCTTTCTTTTTCTCCTGAATTCTAGTTTCATTTCACGTTGTTGTTATTTCCTTAAATATTATGGATTTTGGATACTGATGCTCAATGTCGGATTTCACTTTAAACCATACTTCTTAGCTCATTCGGTTTTAATGTCCACAGGTGGTTTTTTGGGTACTTGTAACATGGGGATGGAGGACTACAATTTTTCCAAAGGTGAAGCATCTTGAGGGTTTTGTTAAAGCTTATAGCAGCATAACAGAGGCGAACACTTGAGAAGAAGTTGGGAGGAAGACTTTTTTGATCGATATTGTCACCTTTTGTTTTCGCATTTTATGAAAACATGTACTTTAGGAATCAGAATAAACTAAAATCATATTGTTTTTTGTGTTGTCGAATTCAGCTGTTTATCAATGTCAAAAATTTGACAAAGGTTTACTATGTATGATCGTGTTGCTGTCTCTCTTTGGCATTCCAATTCAATCAACTTGTAGGTTTTTCCCTTTTTTATTTTTGGCCGGTCATGAAAATAATTTGGAAGCTGCCTTTGCATGTCAAGAAGAGACTTGAAAAAAGCAACTAAAATTGGTTAGAATTAGAGATTGAAATTTGAAACACACACCGAAATGAAAAACGCTGTCTTTTGGTATTAGCTAGCTCCAGCCTGCATTCTAACCTCCGAGTTCCAACATTCTTTAAAACAACAATGACCAAACCCTCCTCCCTGTCACGCTGTCTTTTGTTTCTTTCTTTTCTCTCTCTCAAAACCTTAAACAATCAAAATCAATCAACAAAACAGAAGAAACTCTCTCTTATCTCTATCTCTCTCTCTCTCTCACCCCAAAACCAAAACCAAAACCAAAGAAGGCAAACGAAGAAAGATGGGCGGTACTTGTCCAAAATCCCTCATTTTCCCTCAATTTCCCAAACAATCCCTTAATTTGGAAAGATGGGTTTTGATCCTCTTCCTAGTGGTTGTGGTTGTGGTCCTCCCCCTCCCCACCACGGCCACCGCCGTAAGTCCGTCGTCGAGCATCTACGACCACCTGCGGCAGCAGGGCCTTCCCATAGGGATCCTCCCAAAAGGCATAACGGAATATTCTCTAAACGGCAGCACTGGAGAATTCCGGGTGTTGCTAGCGCAGCCGTGCCACGCCAAGTTCGAGAACCAGGTGCTCTACGATTTCAACGTCTCGGGCGTTCTGTCTTTCGGGCGAATCGCCAACTTATCGGGGGTGTCGGCTCAGGAACTGTTCCTGTGGTTTCCAGTGAAGGGGATCAGAGTGGATGTGCCGAGCTCTGGCCTCATTTACTTCGATGTCGGCGTTGTTGACAAGCAGTTCTCTTTGTCCCTCTTCGAGTCACCCCCTGATTGCACCGCCGTTGACCCTTCTGATCCCAACTTCAATCCAGCTGCTCACCACACCGACCACTATTCTCATTCCCCATCTGGGTCGTCGTCTAAGGTATTCTTCTTATATCTGCTTCCACTCCATATGAATATAATACGACTGGCTCTCTGTCATTTATGCTTCATTTTTGTGTCATGGGGTTTTGTTGATATCTCATATACATGTAAACTCTCCAATTGTAGTCTTTGCTTTGGTCTCATATACTCTCTGTCATTTAGGATCGGCACCAAGTTTATGCTTTGTGTAGGTTATTATATGAGCACATTAATGTAGCTTAACATCGTAGGATGGGATCACACTAGCCACCAGCTGCAAATCTATTTACTTTAAGAGACAATTCAATGATGATGTAATATCTCACCTCCCTCACAAGCTATGCCCGATTTAGCTAAATAAGCTTGATGTGGCATCTTCACAATAGTCTGCGTTTTTTTGGACAAGTTGGGAGCATTATAGCCATGTCTAGGTTAGAAGAATTTTTAAGGAGTGGAGTGGACCACTAGGCACCCTATTACGGTGTAAGAACCTTATGTGCTTGTGCTTTTGGGACAAACTTGATTCGGGGTGTTAAAATATGAGGCACGTTCTTCCCTAATAGTCTGTTGAGTTTGATGACAACTCTTTCTTTGTGTTTGTTCATTTGAATTAAAATCCATTCTAAGATTTTCATTTGTTTGAAACCATTTAATGCGTTGTTGATAGATTCTAGTGCTTTGAGTATTTTACTGTTGCTGGAAATGTTATCCGTCTGTGCCTAGCGTTCACAGATTAATCATCTTCATTGAGTATAAAATAATGTTTGGGGTTGAAGTTATTTTCATATTTATATTCATCTTGTACCACAGAAAACTAATATGATAGGAGATTTGCACCAAGAAAAAAAAAAAACAATTGATGTTGTTGTGGTTTGGTTTTAAGAGTTTCAACTATGGTCTAGCTGAGGCACTCTATTCATTGTCCGGATTAGTATTGACCTAATCTAGTTTTTTTTTTCCTCCAGTTGAACTTCTTTATGTTGATAATTTGTGTGGTTCAAGACATATTTAATTTCGGTGACTGCGTCCACTGTTGGTAGACAAGATTTATCATATAGAGCATGTAATAGTTCTGAGTTGATATGTCTAAATTTATGACATGATTCTTGTTTTTATGGATTTTGGAATTTCAATAATTATAGTGCTGCTTGATCATTTTCGTGAAGGCTGTTCTTGTCTAATTGAGGTGGTGCTAAAGTTAATCGATATCAATTTTGCAGATTGAATCACAGAATGTTGGGGATGAAGGAAGTCAGAAAAGTGAACTGAGGGCTTCTTCATAGGTTGTGCAGGCAGAGATATGGTTCAAGTAATCTCAATCAACCCTGGGGGCTTTTATAGTATTTTAGTTTTCTCCTTTGCCTGAAGTGGATGTGGAAGATTCTGGTTTGGGAGGTCCTAAACTTTGAATACGTGTGCTTTTTTACTATACTGTGCGTACATAGTTGGCTTGATACTTCTGTCTTTGCGGGGAAAATTACAACAATTTTGGTAAAGAGGAGAGAGAAAATGGAAGAATGGATATCTACGTTTAGTAGGGTGAGACAGGGAGACAGGGGGATTGGGTCAGTTGGCTTTTTGGCTAACTAAAATTTGCTTCAAGTTTAAGTCAGTTGTTGTCATCATATAAATTTACTTATAATAGATATAATGACATATGGGTTCCTTCTGTACTGGTGGTGTTGAGTTTCTGTAAATCTGTGAAAACTGATTTTTTTTATTTTTTCTGTGGTGAGATATGTTGAGGTTGTTTTTATGACCGTCGAGATCTGATCTGTAATTACTTTTTCTTTTTCTTTTTTTTCTCTTTTCGCATATTTCTAAGTTAGGGGTATAACTTCCTTCCAATTTGCGCCCACAAATCAAACATGAGCTATTGGGCTATTGCTCTCATCAGTCTGAATTTGGGCTTCAGCTAGCCAAGCGGCCGGTTCATCTTTGTTCATGTCTTCCTTCATTCGGCCTAAATTAAAATAAACCGACTCAACGCAAGCTCTCGTTTCTCGTTCACACCATGGCCTCCTCCATAGCTCTCCTCCACCTCTCCGCCACCCCCAAAACCCTAATACCCAAATCTTATGTTTGCTCCTCCTTCCCGTCGTCAACCCTGGCGGCGCCCCGGTCAATCTCTTTCCTTCAACTGGTGAAGCGAAAAGTCAAACCCAAATCGACCATCAGCT